GTAGTTTGGACTTTTGTTTCTATTATACTGTCACTAAACAGAGGGTTACTTAATGAAGTATCCCTCACAATTTGTTTGTACCTTAACAGCACATTTACTTATTGTCTATTAATATTAAGACAGATTGTAAATTTAACTTGAATAAAAAAATAAAAAAAATATAGCTCGATATCCATTTGTTGTTTTTCTCACATATTTTGTCAAATTACGGCATGTTAATAGGTACTTTGTTATAGCTGAGGATTTTGTTACGTCGAGCGCACAAAGCTGTGCAGTATGAGCAGCGCAACGGCTAACTTGAATATCGCCCAATAGCATATCTGGCATTTCATCAACAAGTTCGATTTKTTTAAGATACTTTTTCATTTTCTTCCAATTCTTCTTGTGAAGCAAAAGATAATATTTTAGTTGCTTTAAGCATATTTGCGTCATTATCCGATGTAACTGACACTATTTGTCTTAAAGTAATGTCGTATTTTTTATGGTTTTTATAATTTCCATGGCTAGGTTTTTGCTAGAACTCCTTCAATTCTACCATTCCTAGAACGCGTGATTTTAACAGCCTATTTGTTATAAATTGCGCACTAATGCCAAAAATTTTTCGGCATAACCGCGTAGCACTGTCTATTTTTAACGATAACAGTATATTTTTCACTTCTGCTGTTATGTCGTTTCGAATATTGTTAGCAACGATCTGTAAAGGCTTCTTGGAGTTTGAAGCATTCAAACATATTTGCTTTCCGTCTGCAGAAAAAAGTCCTTCACAAATAGGATTCAAAATATTTTTCATATTCGCCAAATTTAGCACATTAAACGGAATAGAATCTTCGGTGACTAAACCAATATATGATCTCAGTAGCTGCTTGAATTATTCTCAATTGTTACTTTTTTTTCACTATTACTTTTGATAAAGAAGTTAACGAAGAAGTTTCCGATACTTCTGTATTATTCAATGAAACATTTATACTGTGTATTTTAATTAAATGTGTTTTTAAGTTCGACAGTCTATTATTTTTTAGTTTATTTTTACAAGTTTTGCATGTAGCAAAACCGTCGTCTGGATTGTTATCAAAAAACTGCCAAATTTCCGATTGCTTGCTCC